CAAAGATCTCTGCGGATTTACGCGAACGACATGCAAATTGAATGTCAGGATTTTGAATAGACTGGAAGAATTTAATCGAATTTAATTGCAAGGTATTTCGATGCAGCAATAGCGTAGAATTTAAATCGAAAGCTCCGGCGATGTTGATTACGAGCAGGTACATAAATTTAATACACGGCCTGAGATCACGTCCGCATATTTTACACTTTTTATACGCGATTAGCAAGATGCTTTACGTAACGGCGCTGTCGCGGAATCGCAGCAACACGACCGAGCGGTAATAAGCACGCGCGAAACGTGTCCTTTCCACGAATAACTTTCCATCCGCGATTACTCGCTTGATCGATCCGTCATTTAGTAATAAGGCCAAACGAAACTGTTCGAAATTCCCGTTTTTCTCTTTTTTTTTTTTTTTTTTTTTTTTTATGAAGAATTTTCTTCCAATTACCTCTGTTTTCTACAATTTTTGAAATTATTCATTCTTGGACAATTTATTTTGAATAATAATTTCCCTCAATATCTTCACTGTTTTTGTTTTCTTTCTGACATTTTTTCTTCTACAATTTTCTATAATCTTCTCTATGAAATCAATAATTTTCTATCTCCTGATCTTTAAAAATTATTCATTCCTAGGCAATTTATTCCAAATAATAATTTCCTACAATATCTCTTAGAATAACTTCACTGTTTTGTTTTCTTTCTGACACTTTTCTTTTGTGAAGGATTTTTCTTCTACAATTTTCTATATTCTTCTCTATAAAATCAATAATTTTCTATCTCCTGATCTTTAAAAATTATTCATTTCTAGGCCATTTGTTCCAAATAATAATTTCCTTCAATATCTTTTAGAATAACGTCACTTTTTTAACGTTAATAATTTTTCTTTCTTTTTTTCTTTTATAAAGGATTTTCTACCAATTGCATCTATTTTCTACAATTTTCGAAATTATTCATTCTTGGACAATTTATTCTGAATAATAATTTTCTTCAATATCTTTACTGTTTTTGTTTTCTTTCTGACACTTTTCTTTTGCAAAGGATTTTTCTTCTACAATTTTCTATATTCTTCTCTATAAAATCAATAATTTTCTATCTCCTGATCTACAAAAATTATTCATTTCTAGGCAATTTTTTCTAAATAATAATTTCCTTCAATATCTTTTAGAATAACTTCTGTTTTGTTTTCTTTCTGACATTTTTCTTTTGCAAAGGATTTTTCTTCTACAATTTTCTATAATCTTCTCTATAAAATCAATAATTTTCTATCTCCTGATCTTTAAAAATTATTCATTTCTAGGCAATTTGTTTCAAATAATAATTTCCTTCAATATCATTCTTGGACAATTTATTCTTTAATAATAATTTCCCTCAATATCTTTTAGAATAACTTCACTTTTTTAACGTTAATAATTTTTCGTTCTGCTTCTTTTTATAAAGGATTTTCTTCCAATCGCCTCTGTTTTCTACAATCTTCAAAATTATTCATTTCATCACAATTTATTGTAGTTAACAATTTCTTTCAAGATTTCGCTTCTTCCAATAATTTATTAAATTCTTCAATAAACTAATTCAAATAATTTATTAAATCCTTTCTAAATCTAGTCTCTCTCTAGATGTAACATACAACAATCTCACCTCGTTGAAATACATACAAGCC